CTTCATCAACTCTGCAGATGATGTTGGTCCTCTGACATCCAGCCACAATTTCTAAGTGGTATGTACCTTCAACATCTGCTTGTAAAAAGGGAGGAGGCAAAGAGTAAGTACTAGTTAAGGATGGAAAGATCCAGCCTGAATTTGCCTCTCTTGAACTCACCAGACTTCTTTCCTGTGCTTAGCCTTGGGCAGGAAGCAAGCTGAGATCAAGTCCGCAAATACTCAGGACTGCTAGCAGACCTCGTCTTTGAGCAAAATATGCAATTCTTTGTGCAAAGCATAGAAAGTCTGGAAGTCATATGTGTGAAAACAGAACTCTGCTTGCATGAGGCAGGGGGGTGGGGGATGCAAGCCAGACTCACATAGAATTGCTTCTTGTAAATGCCCAGTGCAGGTCAGACTTAGAACAAGAAGAAAACAGTCTGGACTCTGAAGATCTAGGCCAGGAAAATCCGATGGATTCCCAGTGACACTAGACTCCTCACACATTGGTAGCACCAGTTTATTTCCAGTTAGGTGCAGTTGACCAAATAACAGAAAATGTATGTGCTGCAACTGTTACTAGTGCCTATCAGTTGAACCATCAGGGTTGTTTCCACATCAATGTTTTTTGGACCCCAGTATGGAGAAAATGTTACACCAGTACATTCAAGACAATTGGCTGTGACCAAGGTGTTTCACACCTTTTACCACCTTGTTCACCACAGGGTAATTCAGGGCTTAGCTAGGGTCCTGCATCTGGATCTCCCCATCTCAGGATGGCAGTGTGGCTTATTTACCTCTGAGGATCTTCTCTAAGGGAGTTGGGAAAGTTCACAGGTGACTCACAAACTGTCAAGCTTTGCAGCCAAGTGGACCAAGTTTCTGAAATTTTCAAACAAAGCAGTGGTTGATATTCAGATATGCCCTATGACTACAATGTTAGATTTTTTGTTTGTTTGTTTCAGGTCTTTTTTTAATCCAGAGGGCTTTTGGATCCCTTTGCCATTTCAAGAAATCCTGTATTTGTTTGTCTAATTCAGTGGCATATAGCAGTTTTGGACAATCCTTTGAAGGAAGTCCTTCAGTAGTAAAGCAAAGTCCCAGATTCAGCCTTGGCATTCCTTGTCAAAAGCATCTCAGATAGAAGGGCTGGAAAACATCTCTGCAGTAGAGAATGCAGGGTTATGTGGTGTGAATGCATGTTCTCCCCTCTCCTGGATGCCTACTTCTGTAACTGTGGGAAACATTAGAAACTTGTGCTCTTGAGAACCTCCCTCTTGGGATTTGATGTCTCTTTCCTCCTGAACTAGGGTCCAAAGATATTCAAGTTCATACCCCACAATTTCCATGCCTCTTCTTTTAGAATTACTTGTAGAGCTCCTTTAATTGACAGGGAATCTTACTGTATTATGGAAGGGGCCATGATGTTAAAAGCCTCTGGGATGTATGCAAAATCAGCATTATCTTTGCCAAGGAGATTTTTTTTAACATTGGCAGCATTGAAATGAACAATATTTTGAATAAATGAAATGTGGTTACCCGTGATATTAAATGTAATTTGATTGAAACTTCTGAGATTTGTATCTTTTTTCAATTTGGATGGGTGCAGCATAAAAGAGCCAACCTAAATGCCGTTTCACTTTATTTTTATGTGTTAATACTAGTTAAGTTTAAAATTGTGTTCTTTGTAAATGAAAAAAGATTTCAGAAGTATTAAGACACCCACTTTTGTGCTGGAATTTAATATGCAACTTTTTATTGGAAAATAATCGTCCTTGTCTGGCAAAATCCACCATGCAATATTTCTGTTAGTAGGCATAATGTAATAAAGGCAGGGAGGGCTATTTATCACAACAAATTTTGAGGATTTCAGGATTCTTTTTATTATTTTAATATATTTCTTTGGTATTAAATCAGAAAAATGATAAATTACACCTGTCGAGGCTGTTTTTCCTTTTTGCTGGAAAATGATGTACAACCCAATTTTGCTGGTCATTTTGGCTTTTAACAGTACGTAACCCCCCCATTAGAAATCTATTGGTTCAGCTGTTAAAGAATAATACCAAGGTACTTTTTATTTCTTACATATGAACTGTTTATAAATACTCCCTGGTATTGCAAACTTTGACCTTTTAACATTGCATTACTTTATCAGAACAACTCAATGGCTGTAATAATCAAGCTCACTTAACAAAAGCACTCCTGCTTCTGATCAGGATTGAGCCACTGTGGTAGCTGGAAGGTTAGATTTCTATTATATACAACTTCGTGGAAAGCATTATGTTTTTTAGAGACCACATCCAGGGAGGGCATTTTCTGCACATAGGATACATTAAATTGTGATTAATTTGAAAGGCTAAGAATAATTAGTTTAATTTAAATGCCTGCCCATTGCTTAACTCATTCATATGCATATAATTCCCTTCCAGAATCAAACACTACATGTTCCTTGAAATAGGTACTTTTATTATGTATAAGGGTTATGTATTTCTAAACTGATGATGTAACATTTTTAAAAAGAAAGCATTAGATAAAAAAGCAAAAAAATAGGGTGGATATTTTAAGCAACAAGAGGCAACAAATGATTTGTGTTGCTGTCTTATTTTGCATTTATTTTAACAATTATTCTGGGCTTGCATATTTAGAAATATATTAGCCCAATTTGATTTTAAGGCTCGAGTTATTTGAATTATAAATCATTATGTCCCTTCTAGCTGATCAGTCATGGAATAGCTTTGAATTCATTTACATAATAGAACGTGTTAGTGTTTCCTTTATGTCAGTGCAGTCATGGTGCTCCCTCATGCATCCTCGGTTGTTTCTAATAATTAACTTTATCAGAATCTTTCCAGTAACAAATACATATAATTGCATAGTTATTTTGTGAAGCAACTGACCTCAAGGTGTCTTTCAATTATTCTAGTTGTTCTATTTCCTAGCTATGTATCTTTGCAGTTGTTAAAGGCTTCCTTTAGATTTAAGAAAAACACACACTGTAAAGAGTTCATAGTACTCACTTAGGTTGATGAAAAATATACAGAAATGTTTGCTAAAAATCTTTACAATTATCCATGACCTTCTAAAAGGGAAGTGGATAGGTCTTCCACTGGTGAGTCATGACCTGCAGTTGGATAGCACCCAGACCTAAGATGGGTTGCACAGGGGCTAATTCATGTCACTGTTTGAATAAAGAGAAATAGAAACGATCTAGATTCTAAATAGATACTACAGAGAGATGTATTAAAAAGAATCATGGCTACAATCTAATACTAATGTAAAGCCTGTTACTATCTTGAAATGTGTGCTAGACTGTGGTGTAAATAGAAAAATAAGTCAAAAGTGGGTCCCAAGTTATTAGTTGCAGTAAAACATGGTTCTAGGATCAGGAAAACCTGAAGGCTGCTCATGTAAATTTTAATGTGCTGACTTTTACAACACTGAGTTAAATGTAATTATTTTAAGTAGACCCTAATTTAGAGATCTCTTTAACCTGGAAATTATGTGCAGAAATTGGGCCCACTGCTCCCATTAAGCAGCTTTCAGCAGTTTTTAACTCAAATTCTGATTCAGAAGTAGAACAAGAGGGGGGTTGGAATTCACAGACTGGACCCAAAGATAAACCAGGCAGTTGTTGAGAATCAGACAGTCTCTAGTTTGGGTGTGGGAGGAGGCATCATGGGAAGCAAACTGAGATGGGGGTGGGGGGTGGATGTTCCTAGTAATTGATCTATAAGCAGAAAGATCCACCTTGAAGGTGAAGTCAGCCCTTTTTGGTTTGAAAACAAGCAGAGGCATTTCATTTGAAACTAACTTAATATCATTTAAGCACATTGCTAACTTTGCATTATAACTTTGCTTGTATCTTTTATTGTTGACTTCTGCATTACTTTCCTTTTGTATAACAAAGGCAGCCTAGCCCTAGATGGTCAGATTTAACCTAATTAAAACTTTATTTAGAAAGACTTTTGTCCTGATCTGCTTGGAAGGAGGGAAGGATAGGTTAGCTCCCAGTGTTAATTTCCTTAGCCAAGGCCAGTTTTCCCATGCAGTTTTCCTATTGAGTGTTCTGAAAACTTTTCTCTCCAAAGAATAATTTGTGTAAATCTTTTAATATATTTACTCATTTAAGTAGCAGTATATATTTTAAAACTTATTCTAAATGTATTTTAAAACATACTCTTATTCTATGTATGTGTAGGGAAAAGGTACTAATATTCACAGCCTTTGCCTTTTCTGTTTTAAATATTCTCTGCTACAAATGCATACTTCGATGCAGGAGTTATTGCTCTATTTGATATACAGCTTAGATAATAATAAACAGAATGATGTGGAATAATTCCAGGGTTTATCTGTAATTCCTTTCCTTCCTATTTTGGCAATAGTAAAAAAGGAAGTGATAATAAGGTGAAGTGTGATGGTGTGGAATCTGTTAGAGGTAAGTTGAACTTAAGATCTTGTTCAAAGGCCCATGTACATACGCATAATATGAACAGGGCGGTACTATCAGATCCTACAGTTTTGAACACCTGTTGTCAGCAGTGGTTGAGAGGTTTTTTGAATATGGAAACCTCTCCCTGACCCCTCAGTATTGGAGTACCACTTGCAGAGATGACAGCGTTGACCTTGAAATGTACTCAACAATGTTAGTAGAAAATTACAGGTCTCCTAAAATGTCAATAATTTTTGACAGTTACTATGACATATATCCTCTTATAAAAATTTTGGTGACTCTCAAAACTGTTGTATGTAATTAGCTGCTGGTTATTCTGTTTGTACCAGATCTATTTTCAGTTCACAAGTTATTACAGTGTTGCACTAGCTATATCAGTACTTTTAATATTTTAAAGGTTTTTCTTATTAGAATTATTAGATATTCAGTTGTATTTTTTCATAAAATATTGTTATGCAATACTTTAGCTAATTTTTAAAAACCTTTACATTTTAGTTTGTATATATTTTTTTAAATCTCTGACCATGAGAATGAAAATGTTGTTTTCCTTAACCTCAAGTACTTATATTCTCTTAAAAAAGCTTGTGAAGATAGATGCTGTCAAATTCATGCTGCAGAATCATACGGTAGGTCTCTCAAATTTATTTTCAATATTTCAAAAATCACTAACTTTAAAAATTATTAATTGGTCTGTTCTTTTTTCTTTTCTGCCAGAGTAAACATTTTCCTTTCTTGGGTGTCAATGATAATTATGGGCTGAGTGACCTTAGGTGCAGAACAACTTTCTATACTGCCCTTACACGTCTCCTTATGGTAGAGCTGGGTAAGAAGTTGCTTATGATCTTCCTTCACTATCTTCCTGAAATTAGAAGGTTTTCAAACAATGTTATTCAATTAATGATACTGGTACTTAAATCAAAATATTTCTATGGGAGACCACACTGAAAGCATTTTATGACCACATTTAAATCTAATGTGATGAATTTCCCATTCAGAAGATATTTCCTTATCACAGAAGGGCTATTTTCTATCTCATGCTAGAATGTTGTGTGGGTAAAGTAAAAATTAATGTTAACACTTATGCAAGCAAGAGAATGAGAATTGTCATGTGGAATGAACATGAACCCTTATTTACATGAACCCTTAAAGCACCCTATATGCAGAGCTCATTAATGACTCTTTTCATCCCACACACTCTTCTCTGGATCCATCCCAATTTATTTACCTGTTGGTTTGGTTTTAGTGTAAATATGCTTACCAGGAACTAAATTTCAAGATTGATTTGCAAGAAATGTTTGGGATTAGGTGGGCAGATTTCAGGCATGTAGTAACTACTTTGCTTTTTACCAGAACCTTGAGATGGAAGAAAAAGCCAACACTGCATACATATATGTAAATTTAAGTAATTTTGACCCCAGGAATTTATTTACTGCATCAGAACTGAACAACATTCATAGTCTTTCAGTAGCACAAAATAGCACAAAAATCTACTAATAGGTTCCCGATGCTTTCTTTATTTCTACAGTATAATTTAGGGCAGGAGAGGAGAAATTTATTACTCCTATTATAAGCAATGAGGAGTCAGTCATCTGTGGCAATCCAGTACAAATATCATCCAGAGATCTGTCAGTAGATCCAGAACTATTTTCTGCTCATTCTATTATTATTAGACCATGATTATTGATTATTAGACCATGAGACTTGGGCACAGGATTAACCTCTTTTCCACATATGTTGCTACTTTTGTTTCAAATGTTCTATACTAAGAGTGTAAACTTGGATTTGGAGTGTACATAATTTTATTGGTCTAGGTTGCACCAAAGATCTGTGATGCCACAGTATTTCAAGCTAAAGCTAATTAAATTTCAAACTTTCTCTACAAAGTAGAACTATCTTCTAGAGTAGAGCAAGAATAAAGTTGGCATGTAAACTACCAATACAGTGCTGATGCTTATTAGAATCCTGCAAGGGTCTGCTGTCTTTGTCAACTGTGTTACTGTTAGAATGCATTGTAAATATTTATACAAACACAGTTGTTAAAATGTAATTGCTTGGAGAGAAGGAAATCAAAGGGTTCTTATATGTAAAAAGAAACTTGAATGTAAGATTTTTATTTATTTGTATAGTTTTGATAGCAGTAACAGAATCAGAATATTGTGAAAATAATTGCAGCAACCTACTGATTAAAGATAGTCATCAATCCAGGTGATGAGAATTATCAACACCACAATGCTAAATAACATATTTGATAGAGCAATCGAATATTGTATAAAGTTGTGTAAATACTTAAGAACAAAAGTAAAGTGAAGATTTACTGAAGTGAAGTGAAGAGCTAAAGTGAGTGTTCACATGTCTGGCATTTGTATATACATATTTGGGTATGGTGGGGACAGTAGTCTAATTTCAAGTGTCTTCTTGGTTTTCACCTGGAATTCGCAATACAGCGGTTCGTGTGGCTGTCTGATTGGCTTTCTGGTGTTGTGCGCAAGCATGGTGGCAAAGTGCCCAAATGCGCATGAACCAGATTATAGCTTTGATGGGAATGCAAGCTCAGTCAGTGAAGTCCAGAGGTTTCAGAGTGCTTGCCCCCAAGTAACAGGGGTATAAAGAGGAGGAAGACTAGGGGATGTCAGAGAGGATTCAACACTTCACTCTGTGTGAACTCAGAGCTGGGCAACAATAAAGTCCTGTGAAAGGAAGCACTGGAGCAGTGTGTTTACTTGGGAGGAGGACCATCCCTCAGGATACCTGGCACCATGCAAAGCCTTTTTAATTTCTCCAGGCATCTATTACTTTTATGCGGCTTTAATTTAAAAAAATAATCCTCCTATTTACTTTTTATGTTGTTATTCTTTAATTGCTGTTTTTATAGTGTTTAATGTAATTCTGGAGGCTAAATTGTTTTGTAAATGCATGTGTCGATGGGTAAAATATCAATATATAGAATATGTAGATACAGATAACATGAAAAAGGATGTGCAGGTGAGGGGAGTGGAACCCTTCTCCACTTTGCATCCTTCCCTGCATTCTTCTACCTGAACTCCTTTTTCCTAAGCCAGAAGAGAGGTGCCTGAAATGATAGAGCTGATGGAGAAGGAAAGGCAAAGGAGAAGGGAAGGCTCAATTCTCCTCACCTATGCACTTCTCCTGATGAAACAGTTAGACCCTGCCTCAGGCTTCATATATAAAAGGGGCAGAAGTGAATAAAAATTGCTGCCTGTGTCACATCTACGTTGCCACTTCCTGATCTTACAACTATCTTGAGAAGAATTGGGGTTAGTCCCTCACCCAGTGAAGCACTCATAGTCACCTCCAGATCTACCAGGAGTGCAGAACCCATACACTCCTGGTAGATCATAATAACCCGTGATGACCAAGGGTCTGCTGTGGAACTAATAAGCCAAAAGTGAATCTGACAATCTGAGCCATTGTATCTATGGCTCCTCAGACCAATTTTTAAAGGAAGGAATAACTGGATTGAGTTGAAAGTACCCCCTGTAAATGCATCACAGTAGTTTGACCACCACACCATTTTTGTGTGAGTAGAAGAACATGGATGCATCACATTCCACGAGACTTTCCCATGCAACACGAATTGAGCAGAACCCTTTTTTGCTGCTGCTGTCAGATTTCATATGGACTCAATGCCATTTTTGCTCAGATAGGGCTTTATTTTTCCCCTACTTACATGCTTGTGTTGTTCCTAATGTCTCAACATCCTTCAGTTATAGATATGCCAACAGATAGTCTGCCTCGGAATCAGAATGGAAGGAATCATAGTAGTTACTGTATCAGTAGCCAAAATCAGCTTCTTGTTCTAGTGGCCAGTCAGGTCATCATCAAGGCAACCATGGCTACCATAAATCTTCCAAAGCATTCTGTTCAGCATCTTCAAATCTGGACCATTATTTGGCTGTGTGCCGCCACCCCCCCCCCCCACCACTATTCTTTGGCAAAGGATATATGTGATGACAATCTACACCTCTGTAGTAATGGTCTAATCATGAGAGTAAGAACAGCAACACCATACTCAAACTGTCAATATCTGGGCCAGTGTGATACACTGAACCCAATATATCATATGTCACATAATTGCATCTTGAAATAGCAAAATGTTTGTTATGAGAAACATGATGCTTTGAGCCACACTCTTTGAGATGGCCTCAGTGTGAAATTTCTGTAAAGAGACACATAAAGGCTGGAGCTTAAATAAGGCAAAAATTCCTTGATCCTTGATAAGACATGTGTGTTCAAATCTGACTCCAAAGGTTGCCTCCAGAGGGAATTGTATTCTTTCAGATAGATGTAACCTCATTTCTCCAGATGCCATCTCATGTTTGCTGCTGCCCTCAGTCTTTAATTAATATTAGCATATTAAAACTACCATTTTAAAGGCCACATTAGCTACTTTCTGAAAAGCCCAGGAAGTGGGGCCAGAACAAGGTAGGACAAAAGTCCAGCAACATCAATCATGTCCCAGTTTTGCATTTGTATCCCCCTTTGGAACATGTACCTTTTGGTATATTTTGGAGAGAGCAAAATTGTTTATTTCAATCATATACTCTGGTAGGAAATGCCCATGGAAAGCTATAGCAACACTAGAATGATTGCTTAAACGATAGGAAGTGCAAGGCCACAGGCAGTGTGAATGAACTTTAAAAGGTATTTGTTTCTATGCTGCACTCTTGGAAGAACAATGAGATGGATCAAGTACAGTAGGCCAAAGAGAATGCTTAGGGGAATGCTAAAAGGGAAAATGTGTGCTAAAGCCAATATATAGAAACAGAAAAGCAGCAAAGAGGGACCCAAGGGGCATAAATGGAATGACATGGGCAGTGGTGCTCTGGGCTGGAAAAGGAAGCATGTCACCTGGAATGACATTCAGTTGTCATTATTTGGCATAGTGCAACACTCTCAAGTGGGAAAATAGCATGTGGATTATGTTCCTGTTTCTTGCCAGAGAATGAAAAGGGGATGATTGAGAGCGGAATTTGACACAGGGCGGGGCTTGTAATTCAGTGGTACAGTGCATGCTTATCCCACAGAAGAGGCCAAAGAGTTAACTGGAGATTAAAAGGCCCAGCTGATGAAGCTGAAGGAGCCTCCTGCTGCATTCTGAGAGAGTTGTGGCCAGTCAGAGTAGTAGACAATGCTAGACTGGATATGAATCCATTGGTTAATTGCGGATGAGGCCAGTGCCGAGTTCATGTTGTGGTCTGTGGAATGGCAGTTCAGTGGATTAATGGTCACTAAAGAGAAATATTGGAGGCCGGCCTGCCATGACAAGTGCCAGGCACAGCTCTGTGACCATCAAACGCTAGCCCTGCTTGGAGCGCAGTGGAGCTGTGGAGAGAAACCATCATGCTGAAGTAATGCAGAAAATACTTTGGGTTTTATCATATACAATTAAATAATATTAACATCTTAAACATAGCTAGTGTTGATTTTTTTATACTAAACAAGTGGAAGGAGAATTTACTGAAGGGTACCCATTACATTTGATGCATTTTCCCTGTCTGGAGAAATGTACCCATTTGCATTACTTTTTTACTCAAACAATCCTAGTTCCCCGTTCCTTTTTGCTCTTAGCAGTTACCCAAACAATCTACTTCATGTACTTTGTTCTACTGATATCCTGCTAGGTCTAGTTCCAGATAGTTCTCTTCGATCAGTGTTGTTCTTAATATTCCTAAATCCTCTTCTGACTACCTCAACCATCTTTGTCCGTAACACTTCTCTACATTTCGTAGAATGTGCAGTTCTCCTAGTTCTCTAAATCTAGGACATAAAACAAGACTACCCTTCTAAACTTCACTTCCTTGCAGGAATGTTGTTGTGTGGTAAGTTGTTCTGCTCTTAAAAGCCAGAGAGGATCCTGTTGTTAGCCTCCCATGTTTGATTTGATATGTCAGGGAACAACTGTACAGGTGGACTAACCTAGCTTGGGAACTAGGTAGGGTCACATGGGTATCATGCCTTCCAAAGGGTCCTGCTCTGGAGTAGCCTCCTAAAATTGCAGTATACTGCTACTTTAAGGGAAAAACCTGTCAACAGATGTGATTTATTTATTTATTTATTTTTCAAGTAAATCTCTTAGGACCAAAAGTGTGTGTGCTGATCTTTTCCTGAAATAGCCTGTTCTTTGGTTCTTTTTTTAAAGTGAGTTGCATTGATATAATAGTAAATATGTTTTTCTCTGGTACCACCAAAAATGAGAGACTTGCCTATAATGGACAATGTTTTAATAAACACAGGAATGTGACTAATGTATCTGTGAATACAGTGGTACCTCGTTTCACGAACTAAATTCGTTCTATGATTCTGATCGCAAACCAAATTGGTCACGAACTGAGTCAAATTTTTCCGTAAGGTTCAATGTATATAAGGTTACTCTGTTCTGCACCATATGTAATTTTTTCTAACCACAAAAATATGAAACACAGTACAGTACATTATGAAGAGAGAAAACACTAACCTTGCTTGAGGCGACGACTGGCATGGAGGACAGGAAGGTGGGTGGGGAGGAGGTTATTGTTTGGAGGGAGAGTCTGCGACCACGATCTTGACTAGAGGAAGCTGCCACCATGTGTCAGAGTGGGAAAGATGGCCGCGTTCGTGTTTCTACAAACATAAACACGGCCACCTTCCCCGCTCAAACACGCTCTGACACATACTTGCGCTATGGGGAAGATGGCCACAATCATGTAACTCACCCGATGCAGAGTTTGTGAACAGAAGCAAAACTTTGCCAGACTTTCTGTTCGTGAACAGAAGCATTTGTGAACCAAGGTATTACTGTACAGGGTAAGTGTGTAGCCAGACATTGCTTGTATTTGTGCTCAGTTGTAAATAGTCGTGAGAAGTAGGGCTCTACAGTACTATTGTTGTAGCCTGGAGTGCTTCTTTTAGGGTTCTAGCTACTCTTTTCAGCTCCTAATTCCACTCCCCATTTTTCTTCCCTGTCCCAACAATCTACATTGGGACACTGGGGATGGGTTGGAATGGGGGCTGTAAACACACTGCAGCCCAGTCTCAGCAACACGAACATCTTTTAATTCTGTATTTATCTCAAAATGAAAGGCTGCTTTAGATTTTATGTTGAGGTTTGCATAGGTAAGTAGAATGCTTGGGTTTTGTTTACTTATTTAACCTAGTGACTGTTATGCCTGATTCACAACACTGTGTTCTGTTTGTCTTCCCAATTCCTTTTTCTACAGGAGAAGATGAGGATGAGTTTGAAAACTTCATGCTTCCACTGACAGTTTCATTTGAAACTTTAGCCCAGATATTTAACAGTAGTTTTAAGCAAGAGGAAGCAAAGGTAGGTACTTTGGATAGTAGAGGGAAATTCGGATCATTTTTTTTTTTTAAGGTGGTGTGCACAGTCTTGCCCAAAAAATAAATAAACCGCTACCTTTAAGTTACATTGACTTAAATGGAAACAAATTAAGTGTAAGCTTAAGTCTGAATTCTCAGCAAGATTGATTGAACACTGCCTTGTATATAATTTATTTAAGATTTTTGGAATGTTAGGGTACATTCCCAAATGTAAAGGCATGTCATTAAATCTGTGTGGACAAGGCACTGACGTAAAAAGAGGACAGCATAGAGTGGGCTTCTTGCATTGTGCCTCACTTTCCATATTTGTGGGACCCCTTGCTTCTGTGTTCCTTCCTGCATGGTGTTGAGTGATTTAGGGTTTGTATACATTAAGTTTATTCCTAGCCTATACTGCATGGATATGGCGTACCATTGATTCCCGTCCTCCCCCGCACCCCATGTTGAAAGCTTTGCAAATAAAATAGAACTAGATATGACACCATTCATGTGATTGCTATCAAAAATCATCAGTGTGCTGCCAGTTCCCTCATGTCTCCCCATAACAGTTAGTAAAGGAAATTGTGATGTCATTGCTACATAAGTTTATTTCCCTTCCATCCATTTGCAGCCAATAATGCTAAGCAGGATTGGAAATGTAATGTCAGATCAAAGATTTTGATTACTTAACGGGAAGGAGGAATTAGAGACAGGGTCACATTCCGTTCCATCCTCTCATGAGAACTTTTGA